TGCGAACAGGCTCTCAAGCTGAATTGAGAGCCTGCATCGATGACTAATGAATTTGAATATCTGTCCCGTAACGTTCGTTTTTCCAAATATGGAATGTCTATCCTTATATGGTGTTGTTTACAACTTTCGTGCAAACTAAATTTAGACCGTGCAAACTAAATTTAGACCTTACAGTTTATACTATTTTTCGAAATATAAGATATTCAAGCAAAAGTTTAAATGTTTTAAATACTGTTTTCTCAAAACAGAACATTTCGTGCTTTGAGATAAGATGGCCAAGACCAATTTGATCAGTTAATGTGTTTTTTTATGCATAGTGCTTCAGCAGTTGACATATATAGAGCTCAGCGGAAACGTATAAATTATAGCATCTGACCAATGAGAATTTCGCGTCACGATTTGAGACGCAGATATTCAAATTCATTAGTCATCGATGCAGGCTCTCAATTCAGCTTGAGAGCCTGTTCGCAGGCTAGTAGGGATGGGCCGATATCGATACCAAATACTCGATACTATCGATACCAGGGTTTTGAACAAAAGTATCGATACTGGCAAGAAATATCGATTGTTTCGATACTTCTGAGCCTGCGATATTTTTTTCATTGTGGTCAGCGGACTAATCATGAAAATGATGCCAAAAAGCCTAAATAGGCGTAAATACTATCAAAGTAGTTCATTTTCTATGGTGCTTGATGGTCCACGGGCAGGATCAGAGTTTGTGGTTATGTTAGTTACAATCATGAAAATAAACGTGTTGAAAACGTATTCAACCAGCATGATTTTGGCGTCGAAGAAATGAAAATAATCTTTTCTTGTTGTGGTTGTTCGAGTTTGGAAAATATCGATATCGGTATCGATATCGAAAAAAAATGGCAAATATCGAGTAAATATCGTATCGAATGAAAAAGCTGGTATCGCCCATCCCTAGGCACTGGGACCAATATATCCGGCGTAGAAAGCGTACCCGCACCGCCTGCTAATTCGCAGGCAACTAGTACTGATCTGAATAATACTGGATCACTCATGTAAGTCCTTGCTGATTAATTAAAACACTTTTTAGATCTTTTTAGCTTCAGCCTCAAACCTAAATACGCAACCCAAGTACGTATTTCGCGCGAAGGGTCCTCAAGTTACCTTTCCATGTCCTGTCAAGTCTATGATGAATCAATCCAGTACAGCGTTCTTACAAGTCTGATGGAGAATTAATTTTAAATAATTGTTTAAAAAACATGCCGCATAGAAATCCACCCATTTCGAGGTTGACCCGCAGATGTACATCGAAGACGCAGCCTGCAGGCAGTCTAAGGAAGGGGAAGCAATACATAGGATCTGGACAGAGGGTCCAAAGAATAAAGCAAAGAAAATACAGGACACCCTTTTTGGCGTTTTGCGGAAAATCGCGACTGCGCGCCCAATATCAGTCGGCTATTAGTAAAACACGGAGCACGGAGCACGGAGCACACGGAGCACGGAGCACGGAGCACACGGAGCACGGAGCACACGGAGCACGGAGCACGGAGCACACGGAGTACGGAGCACACGGAGCACGGAGCACACGAAGTACGGAGCAGTAGAAAAACGAAAATCCTTTATAATAAAATACACTGTTTACTATTACAAATTTTTGTTATTATTAACAAAGTTTTTTCGCGTATTACACGTTGGGGAAGTAGGGAAATGGGGCTTTTACTGAAAAACACATATGATGCAAAACCAGGCTGCCAAAAGCCATAGTATTTAAAATGGGATTGTGAAACTCGTTATCTTACATCTATCAAGCTTATGTAGTTATATTATATTCCGATGGGCAACACATAAAGAAACACTTACTGTAGAGAACAGCCGATATATTTCGTTACCCCTGCCAAAAAATAGCCATGTATACTCATCTTTCAATGTAGCGGATCGACTGAACATTAAATCTTGTGATGAGAAAAGTGAATTTTCGGTTTATCCTTCGGCTCATGAGTGACCGGTGGCAGTGAGCTGTACGGCCGGCTAAGTTTAAACCGTTATACAGTACATCATTACTGCTTTCATTCTTTCAATTCGTTTTGAATATTCGGAATCATTCACAATATTATAAAACTGTATAAGATAGCTGTAGAACTATAAATGTTGTAGAGAATGAAATAAATAAAGAAAAGTAAGTTTTCAAATCGCGGTATTTGCCGATAAATCGGTAATCGCTACAGAAAAACAGAACAAATTACAGTATTAAAATCACAACAAACCGCGGAAGTGGGACAATTTTTGTATTTTTACTGTAAGACATGTAGAACATGTACGAAATCCATACAGAAGTGTGTGTGTATTCTATACTTTTGAAACAACTAAATCAGACTTCGGAAAATTTGACCGTCAGATTAAAGCTGCTTTTGGGAATTTAGATTTCAGGTCTTCGTTTTACATGTACCCAGACCAGTAAATATTTTTGAGTTTTGAATTTTGTGTATAAATCAACACCAACGCCTCAAAGGCGAAAAGGAGGGCAAGATTGTTAGAATTGCTATTGTAAACATGAGCAGTTTCGAGCATAAACATGAAATTGAAACGAGTAATTTTTGCGCATCTGATTGACTAAATTCAGGAAGCCATTTAAGTGTACGCGTATTTGTTACAATTCCGATCAACTCTGCCGTGCAGCACGGCAGAGCCAGAGTAAATTGTAAACAAATTGTAAGCTTGTGAGAATCAGAGTTCAAAACTCAAAAATATTTACTGGGTACATGTAAAACAAAGACCTAAAATCTAAATTCTCAAAAGTAGCTTTAATACTGTCAAATTTTCCGAAGTCTGATTTAGTTGTTTCAAAAGTATAGAATACACACACGCTTCTGTATGGATTTCGTACATGTTCTGCATGTCTTACAGTAAAAATACAAAAATTGTCCCACTTCCGCGGTTTGTTGTGATTTACTGTAATTTGTTCTGTTTTTCTGTAGCGGTTACCGATTTATCGGCAAATACCGCGATAAAACGTAGTTTTCTTTATTTATTTTATTCTACAGCATTTATAGTTCTACAGCTATCTTATACAGTTTTATAATATAATAGTGAATGATTCCGAATATTCAAACCGGATTGAAAGAATGAAAGCAGTAATTATGTATAACGGTTTAAACGTAGGCCGTACAGCACACTGCTCACTGGTCACTGGGACGAAGGATAAACCGAAAATTCACTTCTCTCCATGACAAGCTTTTATAATGTTCAGTCGATCCGCTACGTAGAAAGATGAGTACTTGGCTATTTTTTGGCAGGGGTAACGAAATATATCGGCTGTTCTCTAAGTGTTTCTTAATGCGTTGGCCATCGGAATATAATATAACTACATAACTCATAAGCTTGATAGATATGAGATAACGAGTTTCACAGGCACAATCCTATTTTAAATACTATGGCTTTTGGCAGTTTTGCATCATATGTGCAGTAAAAGCCCCATTTTTCTACTTCCTCAACGTGTAAAACGCGAAAAAACTTTAATTTGTAATAGTAAACAGTGTATTTTATTATAAAGGATTTTCGTTTTTCTACTGCTCCGTAGTTCGTGTGCTCCGTGCTCCGTGTGCTCCGTGCTCCGTGCTCCGTGTGCTCCGTACTCCGTGCTCCGTGCTCCGTGCTCCGTGTTTTACTAATAGCCATATCAGTCCTATTTTAATCACATTTTCACCAAAT